GTCTTAGAGAATACCTAAATGATCACAGACTGTTGGTAGAAATATGGGTGATAAAGGCACTGCTGCTGAGGGCTCAGAAAGAAGTAAGAAACATGTTTTGGAACTGGAAGACAGGGCATTCTTGTCACATGGTGGCAGAAAAGCTCAGCTCAGTCTTGCCTTACATTTGTGTGGAAAGCAGAACTTATCAGGGGTGAATCTGAGTATGTATTTGAGTAGACTTTCCAGTAACGTGTTGAGCTGTGGCCTGGTTTCTTAGTGGTGCCTATGGTATAATACAAGAATAAGAAGAGAAACTGAGGGATGAGATATATTAAGCAAAAAGGATCCAAGACTTTAAGACGTGGGAAATTCTCAGCCTATTCAGACTGCACAAAATGCTAAAGTTAGGAGATTTACTCTCAGGAAAACATGCACTAAGGAGGAAAGCCAAGGATATGGCTGGAGAATCTTTTGCAAGAGCTTTGAAAGAATAAAAAGATCAGAATATTCACAGGGTTACATGAAAATTATGCCATGTGACTCATGTATCCACTCAATCATCTCAACGGAATCTAGGAATATAGATAAGATTATCCAGGAAAGATCTGTGAAGGATCCTCTTGTCCAATGGAAAGAATCCTTAACACATGAGGTTTTTAAAGAATGCCATGCCAGCAGAAACACTGCCAACTTGAACTAAAGTGACAGAGGATGAAATAAAAGAAGGCTGTTGGACTTCCAGAGTTCTACAGGCAAGAAACAGGCTGATAAAAGTACTCTGCTGCAAACATGTATTACTCTTCAAAACAAAAAGATGACTCTGAGACAGAGCCTGGCTCTGTCCACTTAAAGGGTGGAGCCTCAGGCATAGAGGGCAGAGCCTCTAGCCACACAGGAATATTCCCAGGCCTTGAAACCTAAGGGAGTTTACCTGATTAGATTTCAAGTTGGCCTGGAGCTGGTAACTTTTTGCTTGCTTTCAGTTTTTCCCATTGGGAGGGTGACTGTCTATACTATCATCCTGTGTCTGAGTCACCACTACAATCAAAAAGATGGTAACTTCTTTTTCTAGTTCGCATGGCCACGGATGAAGAGAAATTTGCCTCAGGAAGGATCACAACCCAGAGTCTGTCTCATACCTAGCTTAGATTTACAGATGAGATTTTCGACTCGAGTTGGTGTGTCACGTGTTAAGACTTCTGGGGATATTCAGGTGAGGCAAACGTAATTTGTGTGTAGAATGAACATGAATTTTGGTGAGTTAGAGAGGAGAATGTGTTAAGCTAAATAATGGCCTCCAAAGATATCCACGTTGTAGTCTCTGGAACCTCTGACTGTCCCCTCATATGGCAAAAGGGACTTTACAAATGTGACTCAGCATCTTGAGATGGGGGGATTATCCTGCCAGGCACTAAATGTAAGAATGTTTCCTCATTAAGAGGGACGGAGGCCGGGCGCGGTGGCTCACGCCTATAATCCCAGCACTTTGGGAGGCCGAGGCGGGTGGATCACGAGGTCAAGAGATCGAGACCATCCTGGTCAACGTGGTGAAACCCCGTCTCTACTAAAAAATACAAAAATTATCTGGGCATGGTGGTGCGCGCCTGTAGTCCCACCTCCTTGGGAGGCTGAGGCAGGAGAATTGCTTGAACCCAGGAGGCGGAGGTTGTGGTGAGCCGAGATCGTGCCATTGCACTCCAGTCTGGGTAACAACAGCAGAACCCCGTCTCAAAAAAAAAAAAAAAAAAGAGGGAGGGACATTTCACATAGAAGGAGGCAATGTGATGACTGACACAAGGTGCTATAATGCTGGTTTGGATGACAAAGGTATGGGAGCTCTGGAAGCTCCAGGGAAGAATCCATTGCCTTGCCCAGGAACAAAGAATATGGCTCCAGAAGCTAAAAAGGGGAAGGCAACGGATCATCCCTTAGAACTCCCAGAGGGAGCCTGGCCCTACTGACTCCCTGATTTTGACCCACTGAAACTGGTTTTGGTCTTCTGATACTGAGGACTGTAAGAGAATAAATGCATGTTACTTTAAGCCACAAAGTTCAGGGAGTAATTTGTTATAGCATCCATAAGAAAAGAAGAAAATAAATAATACAGGAACCTGTAGATATCATCTAGTCCAGTGGTTTTGAAACAGTCCCCAAAACTCCTTCCAGTTCTACTTCAACTCAAGCAGCCTAGCTTTGATCTCTCTTATTCATGGCCTTCTGAAAAGATTGCATTTTTTTGAAAAACGACTCTATAGAATTGAACAACAAAGTCAGTAATTTCGTCAGGTATAGAATTCTACAGATGAAGACAAAGAAAAAGCCCAAGAAAGTTAAATGATTTTCCCTTACTCACTCAAAGAAGACCGGATAAATAAATATATAGACAAACAAACAAACACAGGTTCTTACCCTCATTTAGAGCACTTTCTACCACACTGTTCTAGAATTGGAAAAGTAGATTGGAGACAAACTGCCAAGGAATAAATGAAATAATGTATGTAGGGTGCTTAAAAGACTGCCTGGGGCATACGCACTCACAAAAACCAGTTATAATTGTAATATGTACTTGCATATGCACAGAATATTTCTACGAGTATACACAAAAATCTGGTAATAGTTTCCTCTCAGTAGGAGAAATGAGATACAAAGGTGGGAAAGAAACTGAATTTTCTCTGTGCTGTATGTCATTTTTAACCATGTGCATGTTCCATTTATCTATCTATGGTCCATCCACCCATCCCTAAAGGGTGAACAGAAATTGAGTGGAGCTATCTTTCCTTGCTTAGACCAGGATTCCTATTCCTCCATGTGGAAGCACAAGAGGATCAATAAACTCAAAATCTCTAAGAAATCAAGACAAATCAGATTGTAATTATAAAGTATGAAGCAAAGTTTCACTGCAGCCCAAAGTCATCTCCATAGGGATCCCTTCAGAGCACATTTGTCTGCATGATAATCTGCCTTCTGGAATTAATATATTTTTAAAAAATTGTATTAATATTGTCCAGTCAGATTAGAAAATTTGACTAGGCAAGGCTCACTGCCAATTTATTAAACATGAAACTTTCATCTGCCATGGTCTCTGTCCTGAAACTATCTAGTCACAAGATTAGAACACCTGAATGATCCCCTCCACAGCTTGCCTGTGTGCCTCATCTCCAGCCAAGGTAAAAATAGAACTCTGTTTCCCCAGCTATGTCACCCGTCTAGTATCCATCCTCTAGGAAAGCCATTAGGTAGTTCCCCTGGGACTCATGGAACTCCAATCTCATCTGTTAATTTTCTTGGACTGAGTAAATTGCACTCAGCTCCTTCCTCCTCCAAAATAACGCGGACACTAATTTTTTTTTTCACCCAGTTTGGGTCTATCCCGTAAGTAAGCTGCTATATTCCCCTGTCCATTCTAAATCCAAACCTAGTCCAGATCGAAACCTAATTTTTTCCCCTAATTTTCTAGATTGCTGGTTTTGGCTGCACTTGGCCTGAGAATGATGGGATAAACTGCTGCAATCTCTAAAAACAAGCCCAAGGTCCTTGTGGACCAAGAACATTTATCGTTTGTGACGCAAGTCAGCTGATGTTCATAACCTGGCAGTTGGAGTCCCAGAGTAGGAGCGGGAAGAAGCATGGCAGCTGCCCCACTCTTGAATACTCACATCGATTCTGTCAAGAAGAACAAGATGTTCTAAGCCTAGAGATATGGAAAGAGAAGATTCATTCAGCTGTAGAAATAGGACCAGGGGTGAACCTGATATGACACTCACTGACCTAATTGCTTGGGTTTACTGTCATTATCAGAGGTTCCAAGCCAGACTCCTAGAATCACTGGAAGGAAAGAGAAGTCCCATGGAAGCCGAGACCTGTCCTTAGCTGAATGCTTGTTGCCAGACAATATCAAGTTTCAACCAATCCCCAGTTTTCATACTGCTTCAAACCACATGCTAGAACAGTAGTTGGGAACTCTTACTATTGCTGTATCCTTGAAAATTATAAGGAAATGTGGTGCTATAATGGGAGTTCTATGTCTTCTCTTCATCTGGAATTCAGTGAATTTCTGACTTCCAGAAGCCCTTATATTCATTCTCTGGATAATCCCAAAAAGAGTTTTCCCAGCCCTCAAGGGAATGATTTTTCACTGGAGAAAATGATGCTGGTACCTGTAGGGTAATGAGTTACTCCTCTCCCCCCACCAGACTACCTAAGGCTGTATGTCTGCTGCCTGAACCCTGAAGGCCAGGTGGTGATCCAAGGCCATGCATGGTGCCCCGCTGAGGAGACGATGTGTCCCCGAAAACCAAACATCCGGAGGGTACCGGGAAACATACCAAGAAAAAGAGTCTCATTGCATATGGAAGGCAAAGAGCCAGAAAATTAGCTTAAAAGCTGCTTGCAGGTGAGTGGCAGTGCAGATCCCCAGAGCTGTCCTGCTGCCACCCAGGAATGCCCTATACGTAAGTCCCAATCAATTCATCTGCTTATCAAGCTGGACTTGTCCAGGTCACTCTTTGTTCTTTTAGCTCCTCCCCATTTTTTGGGGGGAGTTGGGGGCATTATTGTATACAGTCCCAGGTTTTTCCCTTATCAGTACCTGATGCCCTGATTCTGGCTCAGGCCAGAATACCGAAGAATAATCAGCCGGCGAAGGGAAAGCGGAGGGCCCACTGGATTCTCACTCAGCTAGTTAGGGGATGAGGGTGCAAAACCAGGCTTCAGCTAGAGCACAGGAGGAACTGAAATTTACTTGCAGCTCAGAAGTTTATTAGTCAAGGGGATTGGGCCAGATGGTGTTCATATGCTTGACTCCTGCATCCCAGTGTCCTGGCTGTAACGAGGAAGACGGCTGATTGTTTCACTAGCTGCAGGTGATGTCATAGCAGAAACATGCTGACCTCTCTCTCCTGGGTCCCCTTTGCCATGGCTGGGGTCCAGCACTATCAGATAGGCTCCACGTCTGTTTCTTGTGCTTGAGCTGGAGGGATGATGCTTTTTAGGATACCAGCATAGTATGGGCTAAATACCTGCTGATTATGGTGCATCAGACTGACAAACATCCAGCCCAGTTCTGCCAACTCTCTTTCAATGAGAATGAGGCCTCTAGGAAAGTGTAGCAGAGACTCCTTCATGCCATGCAGCAAACAGAATTTCAGAAACAAACGGATCCGCTGATCTATGAGCAGGGGGAAAACAGTGAAAAGAGGAACAAAGAAGGTTCAGAAGAAATTCACAATGCCTTTGCACTATCTGCTCACCAAAGTTTTATGTTAACCGAGTTATTCACTGACCTCTTCACTCATTTGGGTAAACCATATACATGAGATTTTTGTTTGTCTGGGGAAGGGAATGCCATTAAGCTCCCAAAGGAAAGTGTGTGATCAAAAGAGGCCGAGCTAGTAAATTTCTGGCGGTTCCTAAGATTACTTTATATAGCTGTACACGGGATCCCAGTGCACGTTTAACTTAACGAGAGGACCGTAGGCCCAGTACTTGAAAGTAACGACACATGTTGCAGCCAGTGCACCAAGTTCAGGCCCAGGAATATTTGTGGCAAACTGGCTTCCACACTCTCCTCTGGAAAAATGTTTTATTTTTGTATCCCAATGCAGACTATGATCAGATGCTAAACTTCAAAGCAGGTGGCCAAATTCACTGCTTCCATTCCAGCATGGAACATGTCCTACAGCCTAACTCAGCACCGCTTCCATGGAGAGCAGTACGGACCCACGTGGTAGCTTAAAGCATAGGATAGAGAAAGGGCTTCTCCATATATCTTGGCTGACAGTTAGAAAATGACCAGGAATAACTCCGTGGGGTTAGTGCAACAGTATCCCACCCCTGTGAGTCACAGATCTTGGTGCAGAGCCACCTTCAAACCACATACGCATTCTTCAAACAGAAGAAGATCTATTAGAATCGTGCACATTATAGACGAGGAAACTAAAGCTAAAATACTTTCCAAATGATCATGCCTTTTCATTTTTAAATGGGTAGGTAACTCACTTTCAGGGTAAGGTCTCCCTGCCCACCCCCCACATTCTTGCCACTTTTCTGCAACACGACCATGGGGATTCTTACCAACGACGCTACGAATGCAGTTCACTTTCTTGGCGATGTCCTGGAGTTGGCCTAGAAGAGATGCTGTATTTTCACTGCTCAGAGCAGTGAGGCCCACGTCCTTGAGGCCTTGATGGATTTCCTGAGACACCTGTTCACTCACACTCAGCATAGCCTCTTCGGGCCTAGATAATGAAGGGCAAAAGGCAGAGTGGGCCAGGCAGAGGGGCAAAGCCCAGAGAGCCTCATAACAGAAGCCAGACCTATCCCAGCAAGAATTCCAGATCTCTGCCACCAGAAGACAGCATTAGCCACTGGGCAAGTGAAATATACCCGCAAGGTACCACCTGATCCAAGCATACAGTACCATATGCCACTTCAAAGAAAACAAAGTACATTGGGCAAGGGTTCAGTGCCATCCTTGGATCCACTCAGCATTCTCCACTCCCATCAACTTTATTTAAATATTGTTTTAAGTTCCTATTGGGTATTTTTCATGGTTTTTCTCCTACTCCATCGATTAAATTGCACATATATTGAGATGCCTTGACTTCCAACTCCTCCTTTTACCTTGTTACAGTATCCCTGCCCCTACATGCAGTGAATGGTCAATATCACTGACCAACTTCTGGATATGCATAGCACAAATCCACTATCATTCAATCAAGGATATAATGACTCACTGATAGCAAGCACATAAGGGATATTTGTGGCAAACTGGCTTCCACACTCTCCTCTGGAAAAATGTTTTATTTTTGTATCCCAACCCTCAATACAACTTATCAAAGACACCAAAATACTTGGAGATGGTTCCCAAAGGCCTTTGTGTGGTTTGTGATGAAGAATAAGCAATAATTGTATTAACTATTAACATTACCAGCCTATGTCCCAAATACCACACATTTTCCTCTTTAACAGAGATCTGTGAATCTCACCTGGAGATAAATTCCTCAGTCAGGGCCTTGGTGATGCATTTCAGTCTATCCACAAATTCAGGTGAGCTGAATAAAACTCCACCAGAGAAACTTCTGGCCACTAGCAAGACTGAGTCCAGAATGGTTAACTGGTGCAACTGGAATGCCATTTCCTGGAGCCGGATCCTGTCCATCAGCAGAGTCTGGTGTGGGAGCGAAGGATAGCCCATCAGAAGAGGAGGTTCAAATGCAGGCACCAAATACAATAGAATAAGGCAATGCCCAACACACATCCCTACCTCGGGGAATTCTTCGTTTTCAGGATCCCAGCAGAGGAGGTTGAGGTAGCCTTGGTATAGCACCGTTGTTGGACTGGGCGGCTCGGAGTCGTAAGCTGCCCGGTTTGGAAGTGAACACGCCGTGCAGGAGGAGCCAGGTGAGTAAGGAGAACTCGGACATAGCATAGTGATGTCTGTGGCTGCTTTGGTTAGCCATTTTGTGGTATAACTGAGGAGACCTACGACAGAGAAGGGAATATGCATCTTAAAATCCCAGGGCTTAAAGACAAAGGCTTTGAGACATGCTCTTGGTCAATAAAGACGTGTTTTTGTAGGTCTTTCTGTCTTAGAAAAACACTCCTTCTCCCTACCCCTTGTCCGAGGAAGAAACATTCTATTCAAAAAATAGAAAATAGTCTCTACTGCTATAGGAAGGCAGACCCAAGATCAAATCTCCCCTCTCCTGCCCTTAGATTTTAAACATACTGGGCCGCTTATCAAGGAGTTCCTGAAATTTAGCTTGTTCATGCTGGATGGAATGCTCCTGCTGGTAGGGTCGAAAACTCTTGATGGTATAGTTCGCCATGCCCATTTTCATTAGGCCCAGAACACGGAAGATGCCCCTGCCATAGGGAGAAACAGAACATTTACACTATTAAAGGAAATCTAGTGTGAAAGGGTGGAATCCAAGCAAGGAGCCATAAAAGCAGAGTACTTGAGAGTTAGAAGAAGCCTGAAGGCCGGGCGCGGTGGCTCACACCTATAATCCCAGCACTTTGGGAGGCCGAGGCGGGTGGATCACGAGGTCAGGAGATCGAGACCATCCTGGTCAACGAGGTGAAACCCCGTGTCTACTAAAAATACAAAAATTAGCTGGTGGGCATGGTGGTGCGCGCCTGTAGTCCCAGCTACTCGGGAGGCTGAGGCGGGAGAATTGCTTGAACCCAGGAGGCGGAGGTTGCGGTGAGCCGAGATCGTGCCATTGCACTCCAGTCCGGGTAACAAGAGTGAAACTCCATCTCAAAAGCAAAAAAAAAAAAAAAGAAAAAAAAAAAAGAAGAAGCCTTAAAAACAAACAGTCCTACTTCAACTTATGAATGATGGTACTGTGGCCAGTGACCCAAGACCATAGAGTGAGTCGATGGCAAAACTAAGGACAGTTATACCTCCTGACATGTTAACTACCGGATTCGAGCTCTTCCCCCTGCAGTCATTCTGTCACCTTGAAAAAAGTGGAAGGAAATCACCAAGGCGTTAACAATTACTATGTGGGTAGTTGGGATGTGGGTAACTGAATTTCTAGCTCATTCAGCAGATCGTTTTACTTTTGCAGGTCCTGGTTCTTCTAGCTGTGAAACACGGATAATCCTCTGTCCTGTCCCCTCACAGGGTTTCAGTTGGGACGAACAGGAGAACATCTAGGAAAAGGCAATTTGCAATCTGTAGGAGAAAGAATTACTGTACCTTAATGTCTTAACAATATCATGACATAAAGGAGGCCCAACTGATCCAAAGATCATCGAAGGAACCCTGAGAGGCTATCCTTAGAAAGTAAAAGCCAATTATCCAGAAAGGAGAAAAGGTGCCAGTCAGGTCGTCAGTACACAAGAGCCAGATAAGACAGGGACTATATCACAGTATCTTGCTCAGAGTTCTCTAGCACAGTGTCTAAGGCAGATTTAGGGGACAGAACATCTAGACTCTCACCTCAGTAACCGCACTGGATCTGTTATGGTCTCTAGTTTCTGCACTGCTTCATCTCGAACTGGTGCACATAGCAGGGCCATCAAATTGAGAATGTAGTTAGAAAGACGAGGGACATCCAGGGCCCCATGTTCTGCTTCCTGCTTGAGAAGATCTGTGTCCAGAGCTGCTTCTATCTCGTTTCTTAGGCGGCTCTGCCGTGGTAATAGCAGTGACAGCAAGATCTGCCCAACAAAGGAAATCAAAGGAGCCAAGTTCTGTTTAGAACCCCAAACTTTCTCCAATGAACTACGCTCTTAGGCCAAAGCCACCCCAGATTATGTCTTCTGGGGGTCAGAAAACTGAGTCTATAGGTTTCCTAGAGAGTATGATTTCTTTCTGTTTAGAGGACAATTACCATTCAAGGTTTCACTGGGATCACTTATAGTAGTAGTCATTATTATTGTTTAGGTAGAATGAGGTTAAACATATAAATAAAAACAAGAATGTGACTTTAAATGTGTGTGATACAAGAAATATGAAATACACACCACCACAAGGAGATGAGGTATTCTTAATAAAGGATAAGGACATTTTTAGATTGTTTTGCTCCAAAGTGTGAGGATAAAATTGAAATAGCCTTTTGACCCAAAAATGTAAGTTCCTTGTGGGCAAGGGCTTTCTTATTCATCTCTGTGTTTCTGAAACACATAGACCATAGTGGGGCTTCAGTAAGAATTTGTTTAATTGAATTATATATTGTTACAGTAATTGCTCAATTGTCAAGTTTCATCTTATACAAATAAAACGGAAGCTGCCCCATCCTATCTGTTTAAGTAGTAGGCCACATTAAAAAGTATGCTACTTAAGATATTCATAGCCATTGACAATCCAAAGTTTTGAGATGCCCAGGAACTTCCCATCCACGAATGGGAGGTTGGTTACTCACCTCCTTAATTTCTTTTAGAAGTCTAAGAGCACAGGTAAAGTCAGGAGGAGTACTCAATAGCTGTTCTTTCAGATGGGTCCAAAAAGCATTGCGCATTGTCTCTGCGAATGTGCCCTCCACACTGTAAGAAGGGTTAAATGAGCAGATTTCTCTTTGCCTAGAGAATTCATACAGGATCATAATCTCCCAAACAGCATTTAAAATTAAGAAAGACCATTACATTGATAGGCTAGGAGGACCTATGTTTGTTTAGCCTTGAGAAGGGCTGAATAAACTGAAGTTAGTCTCAGATGGAAAAGCACTGGCTACATTCTCTCAGAAGAGTAACTCATGGTTCCAGAGATGCTCTCTTCCTGCAGCAGGAAGAATCATAAACTAGGAGTTGAGGCCCCAGTTTCTAACCCTAGTTCTGCATGTAGCCTGGATATGTGACTTACTTTCCACTGCCATACACTTAAACCTTTGAACCAGATGCTATTTCCTTCAGGCCTGAAATCTGGGAAAGGATTTTACCTCTCGATAATACTTGAAGGTGTTTTGAGACACTTTAACTTCAGCAACCCCAAAACTGAACTCTTTATCGTTCTCCTTTAAATTTGTTACTCATGTATGTTTTGTTCTGTAACCAGAAACCAGAGACTTTTTCTCTTTAGAAAATATTATAGTAATGTATGCATTTTATTTACAAATATACAAGTGATTAAAATATATGAAACAAAAATTCAAAGTTTCTCCTCTAACACAACAATCTAACCTGTAAAAGTTCAACTTTTATCCATCTGAGGTGTACTGTAGTCCTTCTTAATTCCTTTCCCCTCATGTCTTATCCACTGAGTTACCAAATTCCAGGGATTTTACTTCCTAAATATCTCTGGAATCAGTCCCCACCCAGTATCATCTCTTTCTTGAGCTATTGCTATAGTCTATTAGCCACCTTATACCCATAAAACTTTACCCCAACAATGACACATATCTTTTATAAAATCAATTAGTTTTTCAAGATACAAATCTGATCATAATAGCATAGTCATTTAAGCTTTTCAGAAGTTGCCTATCACCAGCAGTGTATATGGCCTTTAAGACCCTTCACGATCTTATTCTGCCACTTCTCCTACCTTAACTTCCTTTCTCCTCCTATTCCTTGTGCTCTAACAATAACAGTCCACTTATAATGAATATATAATTGCCTTCCAACCCTCTATGCCTCTGAAATGACATTTCTTCTTCCAGGAGAGTTCCTTCTCTCCTAAACCACCTGAAAAGACTCGACTCAGGTATTACCTTATTAGGAAAGTTCACCGACCTTCCCTAGGAAGCTGAGCACTACATAGAATTCCACACACTAGATAGATATGAGATGACTTGTCACTCTATTCAATAGCTATTTGACTATCTTCCCTACAGAAGCTTTTTGATGGCAAAGACAGTAACTCACTTAACTTTATGTTTTTACCTTTCAACATTCTGCCTTCCACCTAATAAGTACTCAATAAAAGTTTGTGGAGTAAATGTCTGATGATGAGATTTCCCTTAAAAACCAGTAACTGTGATTAGTATAATTTTATAAGCCCAAAAGGAAAACTAATTGTCAATTATTTGTAGATAATGGATAACCCCAAACTCTATTTCAACCTCTTTTCCAGTACACATTTTGAATTACTACATTTGAAATAGCCTGTTAATTTTTGAAAAAGAAAAGTGAAATTCAAGCCCTAAATAATATTATTCCTCCAGATTCATCTACCCACCCCCTGAGATCCCTAGCCACTTTAACAGACCTTCATTCTCTTAGTTTCACTTTTTTCTGCACCCCTACCAGCAGAAAATTGAATCTAACTCTGGCCCCAGGGACTATAAAGGCAATGAGGAAGATGCTGCAAGACCTGTGTTTTGGTAACAAATTCCTTCAGGTAAGCTACCCTTGGCAACAGGCAAAGGCAAATCTAAAGAGTATGAAGATCAAGAGAACCACTGACAAAACAAGGTGCTTTACGTAACAGAATCCCAAAAGCGACAAAAATAACTGAAGCATTTAAAGTGGGAAATTAGAAATATCATAAAATACTGATTCTGAGAAAGAAATCAACCCATTTAACTCTTAATAAACCACTAGAAGCATTCAGTTCATAAATACTGAATGATTCTTAAACATATGTTGCAATATCAATACAATTAAGAGAAACCAATATAAAGCCTAATTGCAGAAGCACACTATTTATTGACGGGGTTCTAATCTTGATTCGCAGAATCATTATTACACTGATTATGAAGCAGATTTCCTATCCCGCTATTAGAAAACCTGCTCATCCGTGCCTGTTTAATCCGTAGACAATTAAAAGATTAACAGCTAGGAGTTAATTCTTCCAAGTCTCTCTGAAAAGATCTGAAAATCACTCTATGTTTCATTATTACCTGAGATCCTGAAATGAACACTTTAACAATACAGAATTAATATCCCTTTTCCAAGATGCTTGGGATCAGGAGTATTTTGGATTATGGAAATTATTTTTTTTGAGACAGGATCTCACTCTGTCACCTAGACTGGAATGCAGTGGTATGATCGTGATCTCAGTTCACTGCAGCCTTTGCTTCCTGGGATCAAGGGATCCTCCCACCTCAGCCTCCTGAGTAGCTGGGACTACAAGAGTGCACCACCTTGCCTGGTTAATTTTTGTATTTTTTCTGTAGACAGGGTTTCGCCATGTTGCCCAGGCTGGCCTTGACTTCCAGGGCTCAGGCAATCGGCCTGACTTGGACTCGCAAAGTGTTGGAATTTACGGGCATAAGCCTAGCCAGATTATAGATTTTTTTTTATTTTGAGATATTTGCAGTATACTTATAGTATACTGCAATGAGCACTTCCTTTTAGCATCATGCTGGCCTTGAAATGTTTTGGATTTTGGAGCAGCATGGATTTCAAATTTGGGATGTTCAACCTGCAACTGCAATGGTTTATTACCTGTTTAAATATAATTTGCTGCTTTGACCTTTTTAAACTAATAACTACATTGATTTGTTGGTACTATATAAGACATACCCAACCATTAAATCTATTAACAAGATGCTTCAAACCTGACCAAAAGTCATTTGTGCTATGTACCTACTCCAGGAAGAGTAAAATGGAAAATAGAAACTGAATAATCTGTACCTATTTGGAGGTAAAATTGTCTCTTCCACATAGAAATCTTCGTTTACTATGATTTCATGTGCAATGCTCAGCCTGGAAACTTCATTAACTGTCTCTATCAGCTCTGTGACAGAAAAGGCATCAGGTCTGCCCTCTGGGGGGAAAAACATCACCATCATTAATAGGGAACCCACATAAATAGAATTTTTATTTTGAGATTCACTCTACCAAGTAAGGCTTCCAAGTCTAGATTCATCAAACGGATCTTACCCAGACTCATTCAATTATTTTAATACTAGACGTTTTCTGAACTTTTTGCCCTTCAGTAACACTGAAGGTCTCAGATAAGTCATGCATGGGAAGAAGAAATTCGTTTTTTCAAAAACCCAAAACAGGTTTCAAAACCTTCCACTTGAAATGTAAAACAATAAGTAGAACACAGAAGACAATGAATAAGTTGTGATTTGTAAGAATTAATGTGTATCTAAAAGTTATTGTGTTCTCACTGTTCTTTTCCTACCTCAGAGGCTACACACAAGATGAAGGCTAAAATCTCCTTATAGATACCACACAAATTCTTACTAGATGGTTCTAAAGCTGAATCATGCTTCTAAAACAGCATTTTCTAAATATGGGGATTCAATAGACAAAATTTCAAAATAACATGAGTGGCAGATAATGATTTCACAATTTTTATTTTTCCACATATGGACAGGAAGGCAAACAAAAAAACAATGAGACTACCCTACCATCATCAAAATAATCACTTCATAAATAGAGAAGGTATTTTATCATCTCAGAAAGTATAAAGAAAACACAGTCAGCATTAAGAATACTCTTTGAAGGGCAGGATCGAAGATGGCTAAATAGGAACAGCTCCAGTGTGCAGTTCCCACCAGGAACAACATAGAGGATGAGTGCCCACCACATTTCCAAACAAATTTTCACTGCCCACAGACCAGGAGATTGCCAAGCCAAAAAGCGCCACGAGTTTTCAGCACAGTGGTTTCAGCTGGTGCTGTGCTGGCACACAGAAACTCACAGAAATCTGGGCAGCCATTTCACCTGTCACCTGGAATGCCTGGGAAGTAGAGTCACCCATTCAACTAAAAGGGAGGGGGCAGAGACAGGGGAGCCAGGTGATCTGGCTAAGCAGGTACAACCCCAACAAAACAAGAAATCTGAAACGCTCTGGATTGAGAGTTTCCCAGAAAGCACAGCAGGACCCAGGACAGTTCAGCTCAGTGGGGGAAAAGGTGACCACCACTACCGAGGCAGTTCACAGAGCAACTGCACAGAGCCTGCAGCAGCTGGGCAGAGCCTGCAGCAGCTCACCAATGCCTCTGCTGGCAGAGGGTGATTAGACTACTCTGTGCGGGGCAGGGCATCTATGAAAAAAGGCAGTAGCACGACAGGAACTTATAAATAAAGCTGACCTTCCTAGGACAGAGCACCTGGGAAAAGAAGCAGTTAGGAGTTCTCAGACTTAAAAGTACCTGCCCAGCAGCTCTGCATGGAACAACAGAGCTCCCAGCACATCACTTGAGTTCCTATAAGGGACAAACTGTCTCCTCGAGCAACTCCACGATCCCCATATACACAAAGTGACACCGCATAAAGGAGAGCTCAGGCTCACATCTGGCGGGTACCTTTCTGGGATGAGAATAGCAGAGGAAGAAACTGGCAGCAACCCTTGCTCTTCTGCAGCCCCTGCCAGTGATCCCCAGGCAAGCAGGGTCTGGAGTGGACCTCCAGCAGTCCTGTAGCTGAGGGGCCTGAATGTTAAAAGGAAAACTAAGAAGCAGAAAGAAATAGCTTTAACATCAACAAAAAGGACGTCCACTCAGAGAACCCATCCAAAAGTCACCAACTACAAGGACTACAGGTAGATAAAGCCACTAAGATGGGACGAAACCAGTGCAAAAAGGATGAAAACAACAAAAACCAGAACGCCTCTCCTCCTCCAAGGGATCACAATTCCTCAGCAGCTAGGGATCAAAGACGGATGGAGAACGAATCTGATGAACTGACAGAAACAGGCTTCAGAAGGTGGGTAATAACAAACTTCTCAGAGCTAAAAGAACATGTGCTAACCCAATGCAAAGAAACTAAATACCTAGAAAATATGTTAGAAGAGATGCTAACTAGAATAAAGAGGTTAGATAAGAATATAAATGACTTGATGGATCTGAAAAACACAACACAAGAACTTCATGAAGCATTCACGTTTCAATAGCCGAATCAACCAAGCAGAAGAAAGGATATCAGAGATTGAAGATCAACTCAATGAAATAAAATGAGAAGGCAAGAATAGAGAAAAAAGAGTGAAAAAAATGAACAAAGCCTCCAAGAAACATGGGATTATGTGAAAAGACCTAATCTAGGTTTGATAGGTGTACCTAAATGTGATGGAGAGAATGAATCCAGGCTGGAAAACACTTTTCAGAATATTATCCAGGAGAACTTCCCCAACCTAGCAAACCAGACCACCATTCCAGTCTAGAAAACACATACCAAATGGTAAAGACAATTGACACAATGAAAAAAATGCATTGACTAACAGGCAAAACATCCAGGAGCATCACGATGGCAGGATCAAATTCACACATAACAATATTAACCTTAACTATAAATGGCAAATGGGATTAAAAAGTCAAGACCCATCGGTATGCTGTATTCGGGAAACCAATCTCATGTACAAGGACACACATAGGCTCAAAATAAAGGGATGGAAGAAGATGTATCAAGCAAATGGAGAGCAAAAAGAGCAGGAGTTGCAATCCTAGTCTCTGATAAAATGGACTTTAAACCAACAAAGCTCAAAAGAGACAAAGAAGGGCATTATGTAATGGTAAAAGTATCAATGCAACAAGAAGAGTTAATGATCCTAAATATATACTCACCCAATACAGGAGCACCCAGGTACATAAAGCAAGTTCATAACGACCTCCAAAGAGACTTAGACTCCCACACAATAATACTGGGAGACTTTAACACTCACTGTCAATATTAGATCAATGAGACAGAAAATTAGCAAGGATATCCAGGACTTGAACTCAGATCTGGACCAAGTGGACCTAATAGACATCTACAGAAGTCTCCATCCCAACTCCACAGAATATACATTCTTCTCAGCACTGCATTGCACCTACTCTAAAATTGACCACATAATTGGAAGTAAATCACTCCTCAACAAAGGAAAAAGAACAGAAATCACAACAAACAGTCTCTCAGACCACAGGGCAATCAAATAAGAACTCAGAATTAAGAAACTAACTCAGAACTGCACAGCTTCATGGAAACTGAAAAACTGATTCCTGAATGTCGAATGGATAAACAATGAAATGAAGGCAGAAATAAAGATGTTCTTTGAAACCATTGAGAATGAAGACACAATGTTCCAGAGTCTCTGGGACACATTTAAAGCAGTGTCTAGAGGGAAATTTATAGCAATAAATGTCCATATGGGAAGCGAGGAAAGATCTAAAATTGACACCCTATTGTTAAAATTGAAAGAGCTAGAGGAGCAAGATAAAAAAAACCTCAAAAGCCAGCAGAAGACAAGAAATAACTAAGATCAGAGCAGAACTGAAGGAGATAGAGACACAAAAAAACCCTTCAAAAATCAATAAATCCAGGAGCTGGTTTTTTTGAGATCAACAAAATAGATCGTTAGCCAGACTAATAAAAAAGAAAAGGGAGAAGAATCAAATAGATGCAATAAAAAATGATAAAGGGGATATCATCACTGATTCCACAGAAATACAAAAACTACAATCAGAGATTACTACAAACAACTCTATGCACATAAACCAGTAAACCTGGAAGAAATGGATAAATTCCTGGAAACTTGCACCCTCCCAAGCCTAAACCAGGAAGAAGTTGAAACTTTGAACAGACCAATAACAAGGGCTGAAGTTGAGGCAGCAATTAATAGCCTACCACACAAAAAAAAGTCCAGATCCAGATGGGTTCACAGCTGATTTCTACCAGATGTACAAAGAGGAGCTGATACCATTCCTTCTGAAACTATTCCAAACAATACAAAAAGAGGGAATCCTTCCCAAATCATTTCATGATACCAACATCATCCTGATACCAAAACCCGGCAAAGACTCAACAAAAAAAGAAAACTTCAGGCCAATATCCATGATGAACACAGATGCAAAAATCTTCAATAAAATACTGGCAAAGTGACTGCAACAACACATCAAAAAGCTTATCCATCACAATCAAGTAGGCTCCATTACAGGTATGCAAGGCTGGTTCAACATACACAAGTCCATAAACGTAATCCACCACATAAACAGAAGCAAAGATAAAAACCACGATTATCTCAATAGATGCAGAGAAGGCCGTCAACAAAATTCAACAGCCATTTGTGCTAAAAAAAAAAAAAACTCTCAATAAACTAGGTGTCAAAGGAACATATCACAAAACAATAAAAGCTATTTGGAACAAACCTATAGCCAATATCATAGTGAATGGGCAAAAACCGGAAGCATTCCCTTTGAAATATGGCACTAGACAAGGATGCCCTCTCTCACCACTCCTATTCAAATAGTATTGGAATTTCTACCCAGAGCAATTAGGTAAGAAAAAGAAGTAAAGTGAACTCAATTAGGAAAAGAGGAAGTCAAATTGTCTCTATTTGCAGATGATATTGTTGCATATTTAGAAGACCCTATCATCTCAGCCCAAAATCTCCTTAAACTGATAAGCAACTTCAGCAAAGTCTCAGGATACAAAAATCAATGTGCAGAAATCACAGGCATTTCTATACAACAATAACAGAGTAACAGAGAGCCAAATCATGAGTGACCTCCCATTCACAATTGCTACAAAGAGAATAAAATACCTAAGAATACAACCAACAAAGGATGTAAAGGACCTCTTCAAGGAGAACTACAAACCACTGCTCAAGAAAATAAGAGAGAACACAAACAGATGGAAAAACATTCCATGCTCATGGTAAGGAAGAATCAGTATTGTGAAAATGGCCATACTGCCCAAAGTAATTTATAGATTCTGTGCTATCCCCATCAAGCTACCAATGACCTTCTTCACAGAACTGGGAAAAATCACTTTAAACTTCTTATGGAACCAAAAGAGAGCCCACATAGCCAAGACAATCCTAAGCAAAAAGAACAAAGCCAGAGGCATCATGCTACCTGATTTCAAACTATACGACAAGGCTACAGTAATCAAAACAGAATAGTACTGGTACCAAAACAGAGATATAGACCAATGGAACAAAACAGATGCCTTGGAGGCAATGCCACACATCTACAACCATCTGATCTTGACAAACCTGATAAAAACAAGCAAAGCAATGGGGAAAGAATTCCCTGTTTAATAAACGGTATTGGGAAAACTGGCTAGCAGTGTGCTGAAAGCAGAAACTGGACCCCTTCCTGACACCTTAAACTAAAATTAACTCCAGATGGATTAAAGACTTAAACATAAGACCTAATACCATAAAAACCCTAGAAGAAAACCTAGGCAAAACCATTCAGGACATAGGCATAGGCAAGGACTTCATGACTAGAACACCAAAAGCACTGGGAACAAAAGCCAAAATAGACAAATGGGACCTAATTAAACTCCAAAACTTCTGTACAGCAAAAGAAACAATCATTAGTGTGAACCAGCAACCAAGAGAATGGGAAAAAATTTTTGCAATCTACCCATCTGACAAAGGTCTAATATCCAGAATCTACAAAGAACTAAAACTCACAAGAAAAAAACAAACAAACCCATCCAAAAGTGGGAGAAGGATATGAACAGACACTTTTCTAAAGAAGACATATATGAGGCCAACAAACATATGATAAAATGCTCATCATCACTGATCATTAGAAAAATGCAAATCAAAACCACATTGAGATACCACCTCACGCCAGTTAGAATGGCGATCATTAGAAAATCTGGAGACAACAGATGCTGGAGAGGATGTGGAGAAATAGGAACACTTTTACACTGTTGGTGGGAGTGTAAACTAGTTAAACCATTGTGGAAGACAGTGTAGCACTTCCTCAAGGACCTAGAAACAGAAATTCCATTTGACCCAGCAATCCCATTACTGGGTGTATACCCAAAGGATTATAAATCATTTTATTATAAAGACACACGCACAGGTATGTTTCATAGTGGCACTGTTTACAAGAGCGAAGACCTGGAATCAACCCAAATCCCATCAATGATAGACTGGACAAGGAAAATGTGGCACATACACACCATGGAATACTATGCAGCCATAAAAAACTATGAGTTTGTGTCCTTTTTAGGGACATGGATGAATCTGGAAACCATAATTCTCAGTAAACTGACAGAAGAACAGAAAATCAAACACCACATGTTCTCACTCATAGGCAGGTGTTGAACAATGAGAACACATGGACACAGGGAGGGGAGCATCACACACTGGGGGGTCTGTTGGTGGGGCCAAGGGAGGAACAGCGGGGAGTTGGGGGTTGGGGAGGGATAACATGGGGAGAAATGCCAGATGTGGGTGACGGGGGGATGAAGGCAGCAAGCCACATTGCCATGTGTGTACCTATGCAACAATCCTGCATGACCTGCACATGTACCCCAGAACCTAAAGTACAATTAAAACAAAACACTCTTTTAAATTGAATCAATTTAATATTATTTTAAAAACTCACTACAACATCTCTATTATTTTATTTCATTCAATATTGGTAAGAACTATGTCACAGCCCAGCACTGGAATTTGGGAACCAATGTTCTAAATTCATTGTACAGAATACTTTCCGTAGTGAAACAAAATGTATATAGTAGCTACAATAATTACTTGATATGTAAAATAAAAGATGCAATAATAAAACTATTTGGTAACTCAATTTCAATGTAGTTTCATAACTTGTTCAGAGAGTACTATTTGTCCTCAAGATATAATCAAACTCACATATAAGAGTCCAAAAACTCACTCCAAGAAGACAGTCTATTTACGTCCATTTATTTTTCACTTAAGCTGTTGATGAGACTTTTGTTGAAAAGTTAGTCTCATATACTCTTATTTCCTTTCTATACTAACTAAAAAGCTACATATGTTTAAATATACCATCTAATTAATTCATTAAGACATCATTTATTTGAGAGGTATTGTAGCGTATGAATTGTGTCATTCTGCTTACTAGCAGTGACCCCAAGTGGCCACCAGAGAAACACGTGATTCAACTTCCATCTTTTTTCCGGTTTCAGTCTTCAAGAGGTTAGATCAAACTGCTACACCTGGATAGGTCTGTAGATTAATCTTTGGTTAAATTCATTGGAGATTATTATAAAAGAACTGCAATTTGAGTTTCTGTGAGGTTGGACTAGTCAAGCCAAAGCTTCAAATGCCCAACATAAGGTGTAAAAAAGACTTGAAGTCCCAATGTTCACAGAAAAATGCTATTATTACAGATCTACATAATTTTACCCCAGAGCAGTGATCATTTTTATGTAAACAAAGCACCCCTGGAAAAGGACAGAACACAATTGAAACAACAGATAATTTGGATCACTTCTGAGCTGTCCTAGATCTACCATTCACACTTTACAAAATCAAAATACAAGAATGCTACTTATTTCCCATGCTTTGAATTGACTAAATCACTCTCGACTATAGTCAAACACAAGTAGTTTCCTTTGTTGTCCCCTTCCTCTAAAGCCAAAATCTTTTAATTTTACTTACCAATTAGGGGCCTAACTCCTGCATGTAAAAATTAGAGGGGGCAGAAAGACAAGAGAAAGAATAATCCAAAAAAGGACTAACAGAAGGATTAGGAAGGAAAAAATGGAAGGTTGCAAGGGTCTTCTATATCCCTTAAAGGCCCTTAAACCACAGGCTGTCTATTCCTTTAGCCTAATTATTGTTCATAGAAGTGATGACATTATTCTATACCTACCAGGAGACTGGTCATCTAAACAGAAACTCCTGCTTTTCGGGCTCTGCCCTGGTGTTTTAGGCTCAGGGGCCCCACTCTCCACTTCACTGAGATCATTCTGGAGCACAGTTTCCTCAGTCTTCGGCATCTTGATGTTAACTGGAATTGGAGAGAAAAGTAGAGGCCAGTTGTGTAAGACATGACTCTCACCCAGGGACAAGAAGTAAGAGGGCTTCTCAACTGCAGTTGTGTGCCCAGGTGACTGAACCCGCTGCCCTCGGTTGAAAGGATTAAGCATCAGGGCTCAAAGCTTCTCAAAGGAACAACTAGGGTGTTCAAATAGTCCTTGAGGGGAAGAGGAATTAGCGGCAGTTCCTTTACTGAAATCAAAGTTTAGTGTTGGGCAAGCGTAAGGGGAAAACAAGGCCCAGAGACGGACAATAACTCACCAGAAGGGGGGCACACTGTACATTACTAACCAAGCTAGGAAATGAATCTTCCTCGGCTCTGACTACCTTTGATTGGTCCTGGAATACATTCTGACTCCTTAACTACTGCTCCAGACCTTCCTGAAGGGGCTCAAGGTCCCCCCACGGCCTTTGGGACCCTGGTCACTCACCTCCTCCTCTTCCTTGACTGGCTGCCCCTCTGTGTCTGCTAGTGAATCCCCTCTGCCTCCCTAGCCCGGTCCTGGGAAGTACCATTGTAGCCAGAAGGAGAGGGGAGATTATCAGGGATGAGTCTGACGGAACCACGGAGATCATGAGGTCCACCTGGAGTGCACCCCTACCTGTTACACTAGATAGGAGAGTCCAAACATGAAAACAAAGGGTGACCCATTTCCAGGGTAGCGGGTTGGTGTTACTTGCCCAGGGTGCCTTGGAAACCAAGAGAGCAGGAAAGGCAAGCAAGGTCTCACCACTGAGTGATAAAAGGCAGGAGGCTGAGATACACATAATGAGGCTTTATGTTCATACCCTCCTACCCAGGCTCGGAGCCCCTCAAGAGCTTGAAAGTAATCTCAAGCCCTGCTCCTCATGAATGAACTGTTCAAAGCTTTTATCCTATCCCTACTGCCCTGTGGGGATTCAGTTAGGTTGGTGGCAAAAATATTAAGGGAAAGTAATGGATTCCACTTTAGCTGGGAGGTCTGTCTCGGGAAACAAGCCCATAGCCTCCACTTAAGCAGTTATAACATCTTCTACTGGAGCCCCTGCAGCCAATTGCAGGGCAGCCTTACCAATATCTTTATTCATCATAGCATTAATCACAGTTTCATAGCCACATCTCGTTCCCCTATAATTTGGGCCGATGTGGGGATGGCATATCCCAGACCCCGAGTAAACTCCATGCCACCTCAAGGCACCTTATGGCGCCTGGGGCATCTTAGCTCCTCCCTTAACACCTGGTATGGGACATATCATAATTGTAGTTGCAACTATACTATAACCTTTATTCATAACCACACTGATTAGTGCCTGATTTGCACTACCCATCCATATGTTTTCCTTATGGGAACATTTCCATTACACCCCAAAAGTCCATCGTTAAGTCAAAGTCTGCAGGACACAGCCTCACACGTAGTGACCCCTACAGTGCCCCAGAAAAAAAAAAAAGCATTTAAGTAACTATTTAGGGGAAAAAATCAGCATTTGTTGTTTGTTTGTTTCACTTCATGCTGTTCATACAGCCCCTACAAATAAAGAACCAACTGGGCTACAAAATTCCAGAAGTTTTTTTTGTGTTTTCTTTTATCTTTTGCATAAGTGAATCCACCACAGAAAGTAAGGAGAGACACATGAACTGTTAAACTCTCATTTTACAATATGGAAATCAAGACTCATTTTAAAGGAATAGTCATGGAAGCTGTGTAGTAAAGGGGCAAGACTGTAAGCTTGAAAGGAATTCTACATTTTGGTTCGGGTTCTTTCAGCTCAATTATTTCCATGCTCTTCACTGCAATCCAATTGTGAGCTTCAGATCTCATCTGTAAACTGAGGGCACTGGAATGAATGATCCTAAGGGGCGTCATGTTGTTCACTCTTTAGTCCTAGTCTACTTTGTCACTCCACTGGCCAGTCACCACAGTGATGTGAGGACCCCTGGATTGGCCTATTTCCTGTATGTATATGTTTCCACACTATACTATTTGATCCCTCCCTTACCCTGACTTAATTTCTTAACACATAAAAATTGTTTCTTATAAATCAAGACTATACTTTGACCAGATTCTCACCATCAATCTCGCCTCGTTAATGATAGTAGTACAATGTGAATATCTTGCACAACATGTGGATTTTGAAAAAGGAAGTTATGGGGAAGAGGCCCAAGAACTTTCCAGCCTAGGAAAAATCCACCTTAACCTCCAGGCACAACAGGATATGAGGGGACTTGGCTAGTAAAGGTACCACTTAGCTAAAGAGTTTATTTTACTAATAAATACTAAATCTTAATTTCCCCCTCATCTTTCCTAATATTTGCTGCAGTAATGTCAACTGTGAAACAAATTGCTCTCACATCAAACCCAGGAAAAATGTTTAAATATATTTTTCTTGATTTGAATATAAAATTATACATTCATAAGGTATATGTTTCACTATATCCAAAGTTCATTTTTCATTTAAAAATAAGAATTCTATTTTATTTATTTCTAAGAAAACTTTCCAGAATGACAAAAATTCATTTTTTCACAAAATTGCATTGTTAAAAAAAACAACTCTACCTAGTGATACCTAAATTCTATTAGCACTTCATTCAAATAGTGAAATCGTCTTTTTAAGTGTCTTTTAATACTGAAATCCCTGGGAGAGGTAATGAGTGGAAATAGAAGTGTAGAAATAATAAAAAAGGAGAAGTATAGGGAAACAGCAAATTACATTTTTCCTAGGGATGGCCCAGATACTGTATTTAATAATATGTATTATCAGTAGTTGTCAAGAACCAACTACAGGGACAGAGAAAGATGGTGGAATAGAAGCCTATACCTTTTGGACCCCCTGCAGGAACATCAAATTGTAACCAATATCTGCATACAGAAAAGTATCATCATGAGGACCAACAATCAAGGGAGCAATCACAGTGCCTCGTTTTAACCTCATATTGTTGAAAGAGGCATTGAAGAGGGTCAGAGAGAGACAGTCTTAAATCCCCGATGCCACCCCTCCCCAATGCCCTTGCAGCAGCTGTGCAGCTCAGAGAGTCTGTGCACTTGGGAGAAGAAGAGGGCAGTGACTAGGGGACTCCACAGCTAACTCAGTGCTAACCTGTCATAGCAGAGAGCAAAGTGATGCTGGGCTCAGCCAGTGCCCATTCACAGAGGAAGCATTTGGCTGCTAGCTAGAGGGATTCACCCATTCCAGGGTGGAGAAATTCAGTCTCTTAGCAATCCACACCACTATAGGCCAAAGTGCTCTGGAGTTCCAGGTAAACTTGAAGAGTACTCTAGGACACAAAGACTGCAATTACTAGGAAACTCCTAGGAAATTATACAATATGCACATAAATGAACAGTGGATCAATAAAGAAGTAGAAAAGGACAGACAACTCTATGCACATAAACTAGTAAACCTGGAAGAAATGGATAAATTCCTGGACTCCTGTGTCATCCCAAGCCTAAACCAGGAGGAAGCTGAAACTATGAATAGACCAATAACAAGGTCAGAAGTCGAGGCAGCAATTAAGAGCCTACCACTCAAAAAAAGCCCAGGTCCAGACGGGTTCACAGCCGAATTCTACCAGACACACAAAGAGAAGCTGGTACCATTCCTTCTGAAACTATTTCAAACAATCCAAAAAGAGGGACTCCTTCCCAAATCATTTTACGAGACCAATATCATCCTGATACCAAAACCCGGCGGAGACCCAACGAGAAAAGAAAACTTCAGGCCAATATCCATGATGAACATAGATGCAAAAATCTTCAATAAAATATTGGCAAGCCGATTGCAACAGCAAATCAAAAAACTTATTCATCATGATCAAGTAGGATTCATCCCGGGGATGCAAGGCTGGTTCAACATACACAAGTCTATAAACGTAATTCACCACATAAACAGAACCAAAAACAAAAACCACATGATTATCTCAATTGACGCAGAGAAGGCATTCGACAAAATTCAACAGCCCTTTATGCTAAAAACCCTCAATAAACCCGGTATCAATGGAACGTATCTCAAAGTAATAAAAGCTATTTATGACAAACCAACAGCCAATATCATACTGAATGGGCAAAAACTGGAAGCATTCCCTTTGAAATCCGGCACTAGACAAGGAGGCCCTCTTTCACCACTCCTATCCAATATAGTACTAGAAGTTCTAGCCAGAGCAATCAGGCAAGAAGAAGAAATAAAGGGTATTCAAATAGGAAAGGTGGAAGCCAAATTGTCTCTATTTGCAGACGATATGATAGTATACCTAGAAGACCCCATCGCCTCAGCCCAAAAACTCCTGAAACTGATAAGCAACTTCAGCAAAGTCTCAGGATATAAAATCAATGTGCAAAAATCACAAGCATTCCTCTACACCAATAACAGACTTAAAGAGAGCCAAATCAAGAACAAACTGCCATTCACAATTGCTACAAAAAGAATAAAATACCTTGGAATACAACTCACAAGGAACGTAAGGGACCTCTTCAAGAAAAACTACAAACCACTGCTCAATGAAATCAGAGAAGACACAAACAGATGGAGAAACATTCCATGTTCATGGTTAGGAAGAATTAATATCGTGAAAATGGCTATACTGCCTAAAGTAATTTACAGAATCAACGCTATCCCCATCAAGCTACCATTGACTTTCTTCACAGAACTGGAAAAAACCACCATGAACTTCATATGGAACCAAAAGAGAGCCCACATAGCCAAGTCAATTCTAAGCAAAAAGAACACAGCGGGGGGCATCACACTACCGGATTTCAAACTATACTACAAGGCTACAGTAATCAAAAGAGCATGGTACTGGTACCAAAACAGAGATATAGACCAATGGAACAAAACAGAGGCATCGGAGGCAACACAACATATCTACAACCATACAATCTTTGATAAACCTGACAAAAACAAGCAATGGGGAAAGGATTCCCTGTTTAACAAATGGTGTTGGGAAAACTGGCTAGTCATGTGCAGAAAGCAGAAACTGGACCCCTTCCTGACACCTTACACCAAAATTAACTCCAGATGGATTAAAGACTTAAACACAAGACCTGGCACCATAAAAACCCTAGAGGAAAATCTAGGCAAAACCATCCAAGACATAGGAGTAGGCAAGGACTTCATGAACAAAACACCAAAAGCATTGGCAACAAAAGCCAAAATAGACAAATGGGACCTAATGAAACTCCACAGCTTCTGCACGGCAAAAGAAACAGTCACTAGAGTGAATCGGCAACCAACAGAATGGGAAAAAATTTTGCAGTTTACCCATCTGACAAAGGGCTGATATCCAGAATTTACAAAGAACTCAAACAGATTTACAGGAAAAACAAACAAGCCCATTCAAATTTGGGCAAAGGATATGAACAGACACTTTATGAAAGAAGACATATATAAGGCCAACAATCATATGAAAAAATGCTCATCGTCACTGGTCATTAGAGAGATGCAAATCAAAACCACATTGAGATACCATCTCACGCCAGTTAGAATGGCGATCATTAAAAAATCTGGAAACAACAGATGCTGGAGAGGATGTGGAGAAAAAGGAACACTTTTACACT